CCAGGTTGAGAAACACTGCTCTAAAGTTTCGCCATTGTCTCCAATGGGCCAAATCTTTCCAGAATGAAAACGGCACGCTCCTCATTATTTTGGCAACAGCTCAGAAAATGGATCCAAAAACAGGAAGGTTTGGGGGCATTATGCACACCCCTAGTTACCAGCAGGATCCCAGCCACAAAGGGCAATTTACATTCTGTCTGTTGCCAGCAGGATTCCAGCTGCAAATGTATGAGCTCCATGGCACATCATCCAAATACCTCCCTGCTTTCTCAGTGACAGCTCTGATGCATTATAGTAACAGAGGAGACCAAAAAGAAAACATTCATCACTGCTTCGCTTCTGACTAATTTGATTTTAATTGGCTTTGCAGCAATGGGCTGTTACTTTTGCTTTTGTGCCAAGAAAAAAAAGATGCAGGAGGTGAGCATTTACTGCTCACAACTCCTTTGGCACTGTGGTTCTCCAGTTTCCATCTCATGTACTCCAGATGTTCCAACCAGCATGTAAGGCAAACACATTCATGGCGTGTAGCTATCGTTTTTGCATGCCGCTGTGATCAGGATGGTGTGAGGGTGGGGTGGCAAAGAGGTCACACTGAGCATCAAATGCCAAAGTTTGCTTTTTGCAGCAGGCTCTTCTTTGTTCTCACGCAGTGTCGTGGATGGTTGTCAGATCCAATGGGTTGGGGCACAACAATGCATCACAAGCCTAATTTGTGGAAATGCCTCTCTCCCAGTGCCAGTTTGGAGCACGACTTATAAACACAGGAGTCTACATTGAAATGTGACAATTCAATGCCCTCCTGTCTCGCAGAATAACAAATAGGCAAACAAATGTTGGCACTTGTAAGGAAGCGGATGGGAAGTCATTTTGAATAGAGAGCACAGCCATGGCTTCATTATTGCCGTAACAAAATGACAGAAGGTTGCATGGTTCAGCCCTAGTTATGTCAAGCTCAAAGGACTTTCGATGACAGCAATGGCTTCTTCAGATCAGAACTAATCATTCTGGGTTGTGCAGACAAGTATTTTTCTCCTCTCGTAAAGCTTCTTTCTAACAGAGACTTGGAGGAAAATAGTTAAGGAGCAGTCTATGTTGGTACAATAACACAAACTTCCAGATTACAAGGCAATGTGGGGCCCATGACAGTACATGGGCCCTAGGGCCATTTTTGGGGCAGTTTCAGAGTGGATTTCTGCATTGGGTGGGGGGTTGGATTACATGGCCCTTTGTTTCACCTCCAACTGAAGCCGAGCATGCCCCCACCCCCACCCCCCAATAAGGGATAGTACTTACAGTTTTCCAAGGGCCAAGGACAAGTCTGCAGGACTCCCCTGACTGGCTCAGTGAAATCCTTTGGACCTTTCCTCGTGAATTTCATGTTTTAGCCATTCCTCATGGACACTCTTTCCCCCTGCATGGACAAACCTTATGAAATCTTGCCTTTCATGAACTTTAGGTATATGAAATATGTTTCCTGATTTCTTTGTGGCAGAAGCCTCTTCCCCCCCCCCAACCTTCCTGACCTTTATTTCCCCTATATACATGAAGAAACCCCACCAAAAGAACTACAGAGCTCCAAACATTCCAGGAACTTTTTAATCCACAGCTTCCTTTTGCATGAACAATAGTTTGGACAGCTGATGGCCCTCGGAGGATTTGCCCAGCCTTCAGCTTGCCCCTTTGGCAAAGATCTTAATCATATTTCCGTCTGAAGGACAAAAGGTTCCCGAAAAACCTTTTGCCTTCGCTCTGATTAACTCAACTATCTCCCCACCAAGAAACAATCACACCAGTATTGACTTCATTGACCTCATGTTTGCTGGCTAGAAAAATCCGGAATTTCCTTTACACATGTTGATTCATTCCAATCAAAACACAATAGATCAGCCTTGCTTGAGACTTCCCTTTGTTTGTCTCGCAGGCCACATGGCATTTTTTTCAGAACTCATCCATAGATTCCTTTGTGTTCTGTCATCCTGCCTCCCTCTCTCCTGATTTGCTATCGCCGCTAGATGGCAGGAGCCTCCCTATTGGATCCTACGGACCGCTGGAGCTTCCTGATTGGTCCAGGGGCGCCGGGGGCCCAGCTGTTTGCCCATTATCCAATCACAGTGGTGGGCAGTAGGGAGGCCGGGGCGGGAAGTTTGAACTCTGCAACTTTGAATTTACTATAAATATGGCTGTATCAAATGTATTTCTTTATGCTCTGCTGGCGAATGATTGCAGCTCTGCATCCTTTTCAGCTGGATCGCTAAATAAACCTCGATGGCTTTTCTTCAACCTTGGTGAGATTTATTTGGGAAAAATCAGGGAAAATTCTGGGCCTTTCTCCTCTTTCGCTTGCCAAGGGTTTCGGACTCTCTTTGGTGGGTTTAAGGGCTCCTCTCTCCTGGGCAGGAGCCTCCAAATTCTAGCTCAAAATCAGACCTACCAGCAAGGCAGCGGATGTTCTCCAGCTGGAGTTCTTTAGTCTTTAAGGCTGTTTCCCTGGAGTTCTTAAAGCTGTGGGAATGCTTTCCTGGCATTCTTTCCCTGGAGATTCTTAAAGTTTAAAGCCTTTGTACAGGGGAAGTTACACACATCCTACACATTGGCTAATCTGGCTGAGACTAACTAACAAAATGGCTCTCTTCCCTCCAAAGCCCAAAAGGGGGTGGGACTAAGGAACCTAATAATAATTGACAAGCAATTGATCCAATAACTGCAAAGTAAGGAAAGCCATCTAACTGCAAAGGCATAGAACTTTAAAATACATGCAGCAATCACAGAGGCGGCCCTAGGTAATTTTCAACGGTAAGCAAACAGTATTTTGGCACCCCCCCCCCCAACCAATCATTGAAATGGAGCAGGAACAAGAGGGGCTAGGCGAGGCTCAAGGGCCCGGCCCCTTCGGAAAGAGGATCGCCCGGCAGCAAGGAAGCCGAGGCTCCCCCCGGACTGCTAGGGCTGTTGTGAGCCAAGGGGGCGCTCCTCAAGTGGTGGCCGAGGGGCATTTACAGAGGCACCTCTGCGCCCCTGGCAAAAAAAGTGTACTGCGACCGCTTACTTTGTGTAATGGACAAGCCGCCCCTGCAGCAATCAACAAATAGCAAGATAAGCTGGAGCCCCTGGTGCGGCTGTCCCAGAACAACAACTGTTTTGGTTTGCTTCTGAACCAAATAAATAACATTTAATTACACTGTTCAACCGAGAAAAAGTTGTGGGCCTGAAAATAGTTGTTCTTTTATGATTTTTGGGGTGCTGAAAACGAAAATGACATTTAAAAATGTATATTGGCTCTAGTTTTTATGATATAAGCAATCACGTGATCACGTATGGTTGAAAAAATGCATGTTGCGACTTACACTATGGAAGATTCTAGAATACTCTAGAAAGTTTGATGGTGCAGTATTAGTGCCGTGTGCAAAAGCCAGAAAGCCCTATATAAGGCCAGACGTTTGAACGGTGAGGGTCAGTCAGTTGAAGACTGAGACAGTATCGTTAAACATCGTTTTACATTGTTCTTTTGACTGTAGTGATGCCTCGCACGTGAGCAAATAAAGCACTATGGAAAAAAGAGATCAAGGCCAATGGACTCCGTCAATGCTGTCAGACTCCTGCTGGAGCATTGCAAGAGGGAATCCTTTCCTTGAATACAAAAGAAAAGTCAAGAGAAGCAAACAGGATATAAACTAAAGTCACGATTAAAGCGACATTGAAACTTTCAGACTTTTCAACTGCATTAGCCCTACTAATAGAGTTTCTTGCTGCACAAACATAAACAATAGACTAATTAAATAGATATTTCTCATGTATAAACTATTGGCAATATAATTTCACTAAAATTTAGTAAAAATTCACATGCAGTAAGGTTAGGCGCATTACCAGAATATTAACGAATTATTTATTTATTTATTTATTTACTGCACTTGTAGACCGCCGTTCTCAGCCCTAGGGTGACTCACGGCGGTG